CTGGGCTCTGAGTAAACAATGCTAGTAACAATATTAAAATCATTGCTGGGTCAACAGAGCCTTCCCAGTTCACCACAGGCTCTAGGCTGCTAAAGATACCCTGTGTACCGGGGACAGAGCTCATTCTGTAGTTGTGATTCTGTCTCGGCCGACTCAATTAGCAAAGCACTATAGCTACCAGGATAGTTAGTGGTCTAGAGAGGTTCACGTTCCTATTGGCTCATCCTGCTCTAAGCTCCTGACTGTCTTGTTCTGTATCCCTCAGTATTCAGGGAAGGACACTGCAGAACCCAGCTACAGTGAACTTTCAGTCTTCCCTCATGGCCACCTCCAGGGCCATTCCTAGGAGGGGGGCATGGAGTTCTGCTTCTCAGAGGTCCCCAAAGCCTCCGCCAGAGTCCCCCAGAGCCAGCTACCTGCTGTGTGACTGGATGGGTCTTCCTGCCTCCATGGGCCTCAGTTTTCCCAGCAGTACATGACTCTTCCTGCTGTCCCCACCTCCCCAATGAGGCACTACTAATCGTCTGGGACCTCGACTGTCTGCAGCTTTGGGCTCTGTATATGTTACATCTCTCTCTCTCCCTCTCTCTCTCTCTCTCCCTCACCCCTCTCTTTATGAAGACCATGGCCCCAGAGGAGTTGCTGAAACCCAGACTTCTGGAAAGCTCTGTCCCAAGGCTCTGGTTAGAACCTTGGAGGGGTGCCTTGAAGTCAAAAGTCTTGGGGACTTGTTGGGCCAGGGGTTCACAGTGGGGTGGAACCGGCCTCGTGCCTGGCCTTCAGCAGCTCCTCTGGGGAAGGAGTAGCTGCCGAAACACGTGGTGTCGGGTTGGAATCCTGCCTCTGTCCTGTCTGGCTGTCTGGAGTGGTTAGATGAGTGAGAAGTCAGTGTGGAAGCTCTCAGGAAACTTCAACCGCTACAGACTCGGGACTGAGGCTCCCTCATACCCCACTGCAAGTGACTTAAAAGCCAACCTTTGGTTGTTGTTGTTTGCTGAGAATCAAAGTGTCTAAAAGAAATCAAGAGGCATCAAGGCAATGGTGTGGTACGGTAGAGTTGTGACAATGTGCTGGGTGGTGTTGAGTGACCTTGAGCAAGTGGTCACCTCTGGGTTTGGAAAGTGCCTCCCTCACGGAGCCCCAGGAACCCCCACAGGGCAGCTGCTTCATGCTCCCTGTCTCCTACCATGTGGGAATGTGGGACGGAGTTGCTAGATCTTCCAAATTTTTCAGTAGAAGCCAAAAATATGGATTTTAAAATGTAAACTCTTCCAATTTTTTAAATGTTGGCTCAAACATTTAAAAAGAGAGAGAGAGAGATAACGAAAGAAAGAAACCTCAAACAGGCCAAATACAACATGCTAGCAGGCCAGATTTAGCCTGGGAGGCCAGTTTGCAGGCGCAGGCCTGGGAGATGAATGTACTGGGGTTGGAGGGGGATCCCTGTGAGCCCTCACAGAGCCCAAAAAAGCCCAAGGAGGGAGGGTCTACTGTACCCAAGGATGGCTTGCTTCCTTCTTGGACAGCACCAAGCCAGGCTAACTTTCTGGGAAGCCTTAGATGGGCATCCTCCTTGCCCCCATCAGCTGAAGTTGCCATGGGGACCCCACAGCACAGACAAAGCCCTGAGGATTGCCTAGGGATGCTAGATCCTTTCCTTAACTCTTCTATGACCCAGCCATGACAGAAAGATGACCTCTCCCTCCTCCTAGAGACTCCCCATAAAGCCTGCAGGTACCATCCTGGCTCCTGTGATCTCTGTTGGCTACACTGACCAGTATGGGGATCTTAAGTGACGCCTCTGCTCTGGCCTCTCCCACATCTGCATTTCCTGACCCTGTTCCCCAATTCCAGATGTCTTTGTCTCCATCACTGCCTCTGCTGAGTGGGCAGGCAACTTCAGACCCTCTAGAGCAGAGTCCCAATCTCCTCTCGTCACTCGCTAGCCTGTCTGTGTCCGACAGCCTTTCTGCCTCTACCTTGTCCCCTACTGACCTGGTGCCGGAGCTTCTGCTAGACTCCTGGGGTACTGAGTGTTCCCAGCTGGAGTAGACACTGCCCTTCCCCAATATGGGATCTCAGCGCCCAACCCGTGTTTGTTGAATGAATGCAGATATGCCAGAAGCAAAGTAAGGTCCCTTGGGAGAAGTCTTCCCCCAAATAGCCATGTAAAGGCTGACTCTCTGGAGCAGGCACCCTTTGCAGCCTAGTCCTCAGGACAGCCGCTTCCACAGGCCCACCTGTCGCAGAAGCATCCCCAGAGGGTGTCCCATCCTTCCTTACTAGATGAAACACTGAGGCTCAGACAGGGCGAGAGCCTTGCCCGAGGTCACACAGCTACTCAGGGGATTTCTTCCACTGCAGTCACGTGTTTAGGCTGTTTCCTCAGTTCCTGTTAGGATGGAAGTGAAAGAGTCATAGCTAAGGAAAGAGAAGTAAGGATGAGCTCAGGTCTCAGTAAGTCCAGAGCCCAGGCTTAATGCAGGTCCTCCCCCCATCTGCCTTGCTCTTTGAAGTGTTTTTAGTATGCACCTCAGATGTGTGTGGAGCAGGTAGTGTGAAGACATCCCCATCTCTTCAATGGACAGAGCTATTTGCTGGGTACCTAGGGGCCCAGGCCTCCAGCTGGCAGTAGCAGGCTTCAGGGAGGACCAGGGTGGACCCGTGGAGGATGAGACTCTGACAACAGGACTGGATTTAAAGCACCTTCGTTCACAAAGACTGTCCCTTACCTGTGCATTGGAATGCCACCTTGCTCTGGCCATAGTGACATAGTAACCAGTGTGGAGGGTTCTGTGCTACCGGGGTAGCTGGAGAAGGCATTCACTGGGCGGTAGTCTGAGCATAGCATCCTCAAAATACAAAGATCCTGAGACAGAAAACTGTGTGGCCTGTGTGCAGTAGGATGGAGTTTCTGCTAGGCAGGACCCAGTGTTCCAATCCTCAACAAGGCACAGCCACCTACCTCCTCAAGGGAGTACATGGGGTATGCAAGTCATCACGCCGAGGTGACACAGAGACAGTGCCAAGTCAAGACAAGCCTCTGGGCCTCTGGCATTTGGTACTTGTCTCATGAGGATTTTACAGGGGATAAAGACGCAGGTGGAAGGAAGAAGATGGCCCACCCTGCTTGGGGCTCAGGGCTTATGATGGGGGCGCTCAGGGCACTCCAGTGGGTCCTGCAGGAGGTGACAAGTGCCTGAAAGAGAGGTGTGTCCTCAAAAATGCTCAGGTGAAGATGCTGGAAAGCAAGGGTCCCCTGGGCCACACCTCCCCAGGTCTGAGATTAGTGAAGGCAAGAACAAGTCTTGAACTGCACAAGGCCTAGGAGGGCCAGCCTCAGTTCCCCAGTTCCTTGAAACTCCAGATTTCACGGCCCCTCCTCCACCAGATCAGGCTGCTCTCATCCAGAGAGCACTGGCAAAAAGACATGGACTTCTATCTGGCTGGAACTAAACACAGTAGCTACCCCACATGCAGTGTTGCTTGTGGAGGTGGGCTAGAAAGGTCAGGACCTGTGGTGACCCACTGGTCTTGGAGGTCAGAGGAGGATCAAAGCCTGGAGCCAGAATCAGAAACAGCTAAGGAAAGGGCAGGGGCTGCATTCCCATTGTCTCCTGCCCCACCCAGCCCCCACCCTAGCCACAAAGCTACCCACCACCTCCCTTGCCTCTTTCCCAGTCCCTTGGGAGGTGGGGGGTTCCCAGACCGGACTTCTAGAAGAGCTGAAATAGTCAATGTAAATAATTGATGCTAGCTTTTTAAAATTAAATTTTAATACATTCTTATTAATTCCAGACAAATGCCCCAGCAGGTCATTGACTTGAGTGATTGAGGAGGCTGAAGACAGAGAGGGATGGCCCCTGCCTTTGGATGGAAGAGGCCTCTTATGAATGGCGTCCAGACCCGAACAAGCCCTGTCAGCTTGAGGGCCCGGCTTCTTGTAGATCTAGGGCCCTGGTGGCTGGAATGAGCTACCACCCTGGGCTGAGGGCAGGTGTCTTTCCTTAAAACGAACCCCAGACTTGGGGTGGAGATGTACCTCCAGATTAGCCCCCGGAGAGCCTGCTGCCCTCCCTCGCGCTCCTCCCTGGTGGTAGAATCCCCGCCAGCCACCGAATGAGTGGGGAGCCATTGGTGGATGGATGGGTAGATGAGCTCTTGGATTGGGGGGGGTTGGTTTCATCCTGGCTGGCTCTGACCCTGCGAGTGGACAGCTCCTCCCACCCTGCGCTGGCTCCAGGAGGCCAAGACTGCAGGGTGTTGGGTGTCCTGGGAAGATCCGGGGCTCCTGCGTAGTAACTCGCAGTCAGCCAGGGGAAGGCTGGATAAGCCTTACTTCGGTGCCATAGGACCCAGGCATGCGATGTCCGTGTTTATTGAACGCCTGCTGTATGCTGGGACCCAGTAAAGGAGATGAGTACTGTGATGGGAACTCGGAAAGGTGGGCCTGGGGAAGAGGGGCGTTAGGGGTCGTGCTGGTATGCGCCAAACTCTTAACTATAGAACTCTGATCCTGAAGGAGGACTTGTAGAAGGGGGGTTTGGGCTTGTGCTTTTTGTAAACTTTTATTAAAGTGTTCGGGAACGGAAGCCCACCGGGCGCCCCAGGGGTCCTTTCCCTAACCCAGCCCCTCTGCTGCCCGCCAGAGCTTGAGTGCAGCAGAGCGCCTGTCCGAGCTCCTCCCGCCTTCCCTCCTTCAGATTTCAGGAGAGGAAACTGAGGCTGGGGGTGCGCAGGGGGAGGCCTGCTCGGGCGCTCGGGAAGTTGCTGCCGAGTCTGGCCGAGGCTCTAAGGCCGGGCTGCGCCCTCGCTCGGCGGGGCGGTGGGGGAGGCGGCGTGGGGCCCGGACCGAGCGGAGCGCGCTCCCGGCGGACGCGGACGCGGGCGCCCTGCGCGAGGGTCCGGGATGGGCAGCCATCAGTCTACTCAGGTCTGTGGCGTCGTCCCAGGGTTCAGTCTCCAGCGCAGCCTTTAGCGGGAGGGCAGGGGCAGCCCCGGGGACGGCCTCGGCCGAGCGCAGAAGAGCCCGTTGTGCGCAGGAAGTACGATCCCGCTCGGGCCGCTCGCCGTCCCCGGGGTTCGCCAAAATCCGCAGGGTTAACAGGGGCTAGTGGGTCCCGGAGGTGCGGAGGTGCCGTCCCGCCCAGAGGGTCTTCACACCGCGCACGGGCGGGTCTGCGCCAGCGGCTCGGAACCCCGCCGGAGAACTGGGCTTGCCGGGGTTAATCCCTCGGGCCCAGAAGGGGGGGCAGACCCCGAACCCCAGGATCAGAGACAGAAGGGTCCCGAGCGGAGACGAGAGTGCCTGCTTCGATGCCGTTCCCCTCGGGCTGCGTGAGCGCCGACCGGGTACGCGGTTCTAACACTCTAGCGACTCAGCGCTCCTGCGCTGGGGGGCTCGGGTGGGACGGATGGGGGGAACGGGGCAGCAGGGGTTAACGGAGGGCCGGGGAGCGGCGGGGTCCGTGGCCGCCCGAGAGTCGACGGACACGGAGGGGCCCCTTTGACAGCGAGGCCGCTAGCCGCCCGGGCCGCTGCGCCTTGCGTCCCCGACCGGTCCCCGGCTCGGTCCGGGGGGCGTAACTCGGTGGCGGCCCGGGCAGGCTCACCTGTTACACGGCTGTGGCCCGGCGCGCCCACTGAGGCACGGGGGTACGGGCTGGGGCGCGAGCGGGGCTGCCCTGCCGCGCGCTGACCCTCTCCTTTGCTCTCCGCAGGCCTCTGCCGCAGACATGGAGAAACTCAGGTGAGTGCCGCGGGTGGGCTGGGGGTGAGGGGGAGGGCGGGCTGGGGGTTCGGCGGGGCCAGATAGGCGCAGGGTGGGCGCGGGTGACAAATCGGGGTGCGCAGCTGGCAGTGCCCGGGGCTCGGGGCGGCTGCTGCAGGGGCGTCATCACGGGCAGGTCCCCGAGGCCATTGCGCACTCGCCCCCCTGGGACCCCAGGACCCCAGTATTTCGTCCCCGCCGTTGAGCCTACAGTTGTCACGACCGGGGTGGCGAAGTTTGCACCGATGGCGACGGGCGGGGATGGAGCCCGCGCGACTGTTCAGGCCCCGCATCTTGGAGCCATTTTGGGGGAACCCCGCGGCCGCGGCCCGGAGCACCCCCAAGGCCTTCCCGCGCACCCCAACTTAGAGCGGGGGCCCGGGCTCCGAGGGGCCCCGGAGAGCGGCAGACCAGGGACCAGCCCATTTGAATATTCGCAGCTTCTGCGATGTCGCCCTTTTCTTCGGACAACCCCCCTTCCCCCCACCCCCCCCCCCAGCATTTTCCTCCGGAGCTAGGGCCCAGTCTGTGTGGTCAGCAGGCCCAGCCCTTTGGTGCTGGGTTCGGGGCCCTCGCCCCTGACCTGAAGGGTCTTTTGGCCCTTTTGTCCAAGACAAAATTGTCATTATGGAAAAAACTGGGTAGCAGGCCATCAGTCCCTGAGGGGTAGGGCCTGACTAAGCTCAGGCCTGGCCCAAGGTAGGGCCTGGCTCCAGGGGAGGGGCTGGGCCTTCCCAGCTGACCTTCAATACTGGTCAGTGGTCTCAGATATCCAGGTATCTGGAGACAAGAACAGAGGACCACAGGTCTGGAATCGGCATATCCTGAGCTGGGAGGGGGTCCAGTCTTTTGGAACCTCAGAACAAAAACTGATGATGTCAGTGGGCCAAGGCCCACCTTGCATGATCCAAGTCAAAATGGAGGCATCCAGGCCTAGGGAGCCATATTTGTATGGTCATTGCAATGACTTCAGTCCCAAACCCAGGCTTCCCTCCTCACGCGAGGACCCTCACTGGTGCCCCTCATTGGCTATTATTCATCATCACCCCCACACTGAGGCCCTGAGGGGACACTGCCCAACTCAACTGGGACTGAAAAAAAATTCAGAGATTTCCAGAAGCCAGAAAGACTCCCTGAGCTTCCTTCCTCTCCCCCTCTCCTCATGCTTAGCCAAGGGTCTTGAATGTGGTCTGTGTGTTGGGCCTGGGGTCTGATCAACCTGACTGGGGACATAGGTAGGCAGATGACCTGTCCTGGACTGAAAAGGGAGGGCTGGGAGCAGTGGTTAGGGCTTGGGCCCCTGGACTGAATTGGATCACATGACCTTCCAGACTTGGTGGGATCTTGAAGATGGAACTCACAATGCCTCCTGGAATTGGAGTGGGAAGGGTCCTACCCCCTGGGATTGGGGAGGGTCCTATTGTTGTCAGCAGCTGGTCTTCTAAATCACACAGCTTCCTCCAGAACCTTCCTTCACTGATGGTATGGGTACCAAGAGCCGCAATGGGTTTCTGTCTGGAGATGAGGGTTGGTCCTGGGGACCAAAAGAACCAGAGGCTAAGGAAATCCAGTCACATGACCTCCTGCAGGGTGGTCACAGGATTTGTGGTCCCACAGATCTAGCTAAAACTCCGCCTATGGATCTTGAATTTCCTCGGCTGCAGAATGAATACCTCTGCCAAGGGATATTGGGGGGTGGGGGGAGGTGCTAGTCTGGGGCCAGGAGCACACTAGGGGCCCAGACAGAATGTCCTGGGTGAGGAGAGGGGGTAACTCCCCAGTCCCAGGCAAGAAGAATGGTATTTGTGGTTGAGTGAAGGGGTCTTGGTTATCCAGATAGAGGTGGTAGGTATGAGCTTGGTTCTGCTTCCTGGGGCAGAGAATGTGGATTTCTCTATGCTATAGCCTGGGATTTGGACCTAGGTTGAGTTGGGGGAAGCCTAGCCTTGGATCCACCCACTCCTCTACCCACCCATCCCAGGCTTGAGCCTGGGTAGCTAACTTGCAGAATGACTCTGGTGGCAGCCTTTTGTGAGCAGATAAGCAGCTGGACTCTCACTGCTTTCACCCCTCTGCCAGACTCTCACCCCATAGCATGATCCGCCATGGAGCTCACAGCAAATTACTGACCTCCCTATGGTCCTCCCTGCCCAGGAAGCCTTTCCCTATTCTTTTAGCTGCACAGAAAACTTGGAGACTCTAAGGACCCTCTTCACTAGGGTTCTTACTCCATCCAAGCACCTGGCCCTGTATGGGATGCTGAAACCCAACCCAGCCATTCAAAGCAGGCACCCAGGCTAGGGATAGGGGACAGTGAAGTCTGCCCAGGATGCTCTGGATACCAGATTAGAGACATTAGCCTCCTGAGGTATTGGAGGATGATCCCAAAAATGCCTCAACTAGGGCTCAAGATGACAGGCTAAACAAGACAGCCTCCAAGAATGCAGAGACCTCCTGGTTCTGGAAGCAATATGGGACAGAGGAGGAATGGGGAGTAGAGGTCAGGGGGCTGTCCCAGACACCTGGAATGAAGTCCCTCATCTTCCTTTTGCCACATGTGAGCACCGTGAGAACAAGACTTGACTCTGACCTCTCTTTTACTAGCCTCAGTACCTGGTAGGGACTTGCACACAGTAGGACTCCTTGGGCCCCTTGACATATAGTAGGTGCACATCTATTGTTGACCTGGCCACCTGGCTATAGCCTAGCATCTCCCCACTCCTGAATCCTGCACATCCCTGCTCAGCTCCTCCATTCCTGCTCAACCACTCTACCTCCAGCTGTCTGAGACATCCCTGTATCTCAGCTGCCTGATGTGTGATGGCCATGGGCCTCTCTCTGCTGCCATCTTAGGCGTTCCCCGTCCCACTTTGAGCTGCAGTTTCTTCTCTGTCCAGAGATGCAGGGGGGGGGGGTACTCAGCAAGCCCAAAGATTCCCTCACTAGGGACCACACCTTCTGCCCAAAGCAAGTCCTTAAAGTGACAGAGTGTGGCCATCTCCAGGAAAGCAACCCAAAGCCAGTGATCAACTGCAGGACTAGCTGTAAAGTTAGAGCAAGCTGGGGACCACTGCCAGCCACCCCAAATCTCCAAGACCCTTCCCCAAATACATCCCCCACCTCAAAGTTACCAGGACCCTGGCTTTGTGATACAGGCTCCTGGCTTTTGAATTCATGAACAGCTTCAACTGTGTCTCGCTTGGGTCCCCATCTGTGCCTCTGGAATTCATCTGTGTCATGGCTGTGGGAGTCGCCCAGTGATTGGCCATCCCACTGAGCCACAGGCATTCCTTAGTGATTGAATCAAGGTAAGCAGAGCTGCTGTGGACATCCACGAACGAGTGTCCTTTGTGTGCCGGGGCACCACGTGATCATCTTGGGACAACAGGCCCAGAGGCACCCAGTGACCCTGCCCAAAATCCTCACCAACTTCTCCCATCAGGTGTAGGAATGGGGATCTTTCCTAGCTGATTCCCATCATTCGATAGCCCTCTTGGGTGCCATCTGCAGGCATCCAAGGGATCCAGTGTGACTTTGGATTGTGAGAACTCTTTATACAGCTGGTTCCAGCAGACCAGCACCTCCTGCTATTATATGATGCTCACAGTGATCCTTGGGTCAATGGGACTTGGTGGCGTTGGCACTGTTGCCTGTCTCAGGCTGGGGTGCTGGGGTTACATTGTATTCACAGTGCTAGCAGATACTCCAGCACTGAGCAGAGCCCAGCCTGCTCCTTTTTTCCCTATTGAAGTCTTTTGTGTGCTGCTAATGGATTTTCAGGTGCCCTCAAAGGCCTTCCTCTCCTTGAACTTGATCCCTGTGTCCCGGGGTCGGTATTATTTTCACATGGATACTCATGCATTTGGCCCACAGCTTGATCTGTTCACCTACCCGCTTCTCATTCAGCCTTGCACAGACCAGGAAGGCTGTCCTCCATGCTGGGGCAGTGGGAGAGGGGGAAGCACCATGGTGGCTTCATAGAAACAAGTGGCTATCAGACATCCTTACACCTGCCTGAGCATCCCACCCAGGGCCACATGTGCCTTTCCCAAAGTCAAGGCTGGGGGTGCATTTCAAGCCTACAGACCCCCACTCCCCATGTTCCTTGTGCAGCCCCCAGCTCTGCCCCCACTGCACCCCTGACATGGCACATCTGCTCCCATGCACTGGATCTCCCCTGTCCTGAAGGTCTGGCCTTGGCCCTCTCACTTGTCACTTGGACTTTTTGCCCATTGATCATAAGCCAAACACATTTATTAAGCACCACTGTTTACCAAGGGTATTGTAGTCAAGGGAGGATATAGGAAAAAAAACATTGTGGTTAATGGTGACAGAGACCTTTTCTAAACAAGTAAAATTCACAAGTGCTTTGGGGACAGAAATGGTGAGGGCAGCTATCATCTGTGGGGCAGGGCAGTTTTGCAAGCCTGAGAACAAGAGGCCCGAGCTCCAGGAAGATGGGAGATAGCCGGTGCAAGGGCCTGGTAAGAACAATGGGTGAGATGGAGGGGGACAGGGTCTGAAGGTGGACCCAGAAGTGGGTTCTGGGTATAGAGAGGGTCCGTGGAGCCAGACCTGCTGCTGAGAGCTGTGGCATGGTAAGTGCTGAGCCTGGGCTCCTGGCAGTCATGATGGGGACCGCTGTGGAGAAGCTCATACTTTGAGGGTGCCTAGACTTGGGTCTCCTTGCACATGGGAGTATCCCCCCACATCAGACCCCCTACTCTTCTTTTCCCTCCGGCCCACCTACCCACTGTGCCAGCTGGTCAAGCCTCTCACTAAGTGAGGTTCTTCAAGGCTTCCACCACTACTCTTAAATCTGATGCTAATAGAGGAAGCCGAATTCTCACTAAATTCTTTCTTTAGGGGTCAGACCATTGTAAAGGGACTTGGCATATGAAGTATTCTTTCTCACTGTATTTCTTTTCAAAAATCTCCTGTCCCCACAGCCCATCTGAGACCCTGCTCTGAAAAGCCTC